AAACTTGTATCCACACCACATAGGTAAACATATGTATACAAACACATACACGTACATCCATTTATTCTAAGGTAGGTATGCAAAAATGTTCAGAAATCTCTCAAACGTACAGATCTATAAATATTTTATTTTCGATTTTTTACGTTTACTAGAACTACCTTACGAGAAGTTAAAAAAATAAATTTAATATTAACTGTCTTATTGGCCTTTTATTATTAGTGTTTCTACAGATTTCAATAGACTATAAATAATTATTAGATACAAAAATTGAAATAAATCCTGTAATAGATCAACGTGCGTGATATGCGAATTCAGTTTCTATGTAAAAGATCAAACTCTTAATATCAGAGTATATAAGTATATTATCTGCAACCCGATTTACGTAACATTTTCAATGACGATGCAATGATTTTCCGCGAATGATGCCTTCCTATATACTATTGCATCACATATATTTCACTAATGAAGATCACAAGATCCGCGTACAATGAGCAAAATTAGACTCGGATTACGCGGGCCGTAAATGTGCGAATTTCGAAGTGTATCTATTTTTAACACCGGAATACTAAAATAGATTTTTTTATTAATCGTATGATCGTAGACGTAAAATACTATTTTTTTATGTTATTTTTATTTGAAAAAAGATTTTTTTTCAGAATTTTTTTTTCATTTTTTAGAATGTTTAAAAAATTTGATAAGTTTGAAATTTTGACCTGTATAAAAATCAATGGGTCAAACAATGCGTTGCCTTCTAGAAACACGAGGTTGTATAATTATAAATAAAATATGTAAAATTATAAACGATTAGAAATATATATAATAATTTCATTTTAAAAAGAATGGCCAGCCAATGGGTTGACTTGTAGAAACACAAGGTTATAAAATTATAAATAAAATATGATAATATAATAAATAACAATCGATTATGAATCGGCCGAAAGTTGCATATTATGTGAGAAATCGTAATAGGTATAAACGTCTTAACAGAGTTCTACAGTATATAGATTCATATTCAGTGCTGCATTTAGAGTAGGGGCATTTGAGGTTAGTACCCAGGGCGGCAAATTTTCAGGGGCGGTAAAATTTGAAAATTAAAAAAAAAAATTACATCTATAATAGAAGAAATATGCAATGCGTGATAAATTTTCTGCAATAAAATAGATATTTTAATTTTAGAAAAATGAGATTCAAAAAATGGTGCGGCATTTTCGTCAGTGCCCCAGGGCGCCAAATTTCTAAATCCGGCCCGGTACATATTATGCCGAGAGTAGTTATATAAACTAACAAAAAATCATTTGTGATAAGAACTATTACCATTGAAGAACAACACCAGTTATTATTTTGACCATTATTATTCTCGAGCTACATTATTATTTTTTTATTATAATGCTAATTTACTAACTTTTACAATTAATTACAAAACAAAAAAAATATAATTTATTAAATCTTTAGTATTGAATCCTTATTTCGGTAATACTCTTTTTTTTCAATAAACAAATGTATATAAAATGACGTCATTGAACTTTTCATATTTTGTCTTTTTTTTAATGAATCAAAGAACAGATTTTTACTTTAAAGTAATATAAGAACAGTATTTAACGTTTAAAATATAATGAAAAATATAATAATTGTTGAATACATCTAAATCTGCCCCAATTTTTCAT